GGTAGCACAAACAAATAACAAATATTTATTGAACTATAACTACATAAAGCACTGAACTAGGTACTATAATTATTAGGGCTTATGATTTACAGTTTTCTCTTACTCTCTCCTTTGTAAGTTCTGAGGTATAATCTACCTGAAAATAAAATTCTTAAAATAATCCAAAATATTTTAATACAGTAATTATTATATCACTGGTAAATCACTTCAAAAAATCAATGCCTTGCTTCCTCTTACTTTGAGTTACACATTTTAATACCTGTACACAAACCACAACAAATAATAAAACTGACTACTTTTTGTCTTTAGGTGTCTGATTTTATTTTGGCAAACATCCCTTTTTGTGTGTGTCATATTAGTGATAGCACAGACATGATAAACAGGCTTTTGGACAATGTAACAAACAGAAGACTCAAAAACCACATGCTCTTTTATTTTACACTATGTTGAATTGCCTCATCTAGCTTATTCATACCAAGTGTTTAATAGAATGCAAATTAACACAAATACCATTGAATAAAATCTGCTGTGTTGAATACTTCTAGGTTTCTCTTGGATGCCACTGACACTTCCTTAAACAGTACTTTTTCAAACACAAAAAGAGTAAGAGCAAAAATACACATCTAGAATTTACCTTCTGTATGAAAAGGATGATTTGCATTCATTTTATACTATAATGTTTTAATACACAAATTAAGAAACAGAATACAAGCGCTGTTAGGATTCTAGAAGGCTAATTTTGGAACTACCTTAGTTTCGAGAATTAGTCTTGTTATTATAACAGATCTTGAGATAGCACATTACTTTTAAATAAAATTTTAAAAATATTAATGAAAATAGCTTTATGTTTTCCTTCGTGAATAAAATTATCCAAATTCTCTAACAACATCCCTTTTGCATTAATAAAACCAGGTGTAAGTGCCCCTTCTAAAGCCAAAGACTTGGTAGGGTAGAAGGAAAGCAAACCAGAACTCTGAAAATTTAAAGAATAGTTCTAATAAAGATTCCAATAATCCCAGCCTTGGATTTTACAATTTTGTTGAAATTTATCAGAAATCCTTTTACAGGAGCTTACAGCTTCAGTAAAACATTTCTCAATTCTATTTTTTATTTGCATAGAATAAGGTACAATGTCAGTATAATATACTACTCTGTTTAAATGTTCCTTATTATTTGTAATATTTCCAAATAATTTTCTCTTTACTGTGAAATAAGTATTAATATTCCCATTTTATAGATGAGGATATTAAGGTACAGACAGGTGAAGTGACTTAGGGAGGCAGAACAGATAGAGGGAACAAAGATGGGATTTAGAGACAAAAGGATCAGGGTTTAAATATAATACAGCCACCTGCTAGCTTTGAGCAAGTCCCTTTGTCTGGGCCTGTCTTTCATTTGTAAAATGAGGATAATACCACCTACCTCTCAAATGGTTGATGAAAGGTATGAACAAAGCACCTAGCAGATAGCTTAGTATAGAGCTGGCCATTCAACAAATATCAGCTCTCCCACCAAGCCACAATCCCATTTTCTTCAGCTGGTACAATGGGTATAATGTTCTGAAGTACATGAGATAATATAACATATTCAGAGTGCTGGCAAGTACAGGGCTCAATACATTTGTTGTTTCCCCTAATATTCCCTCCCTACCCTACGTCCCACAGTTACTAAGTGGCTGAGCCACAATCAAATCCAAACCTTAGTTCCACTATAGAACTGCCTCTGCACACACACACATTTTATTAATGGTAGTACCTTATTTAACCTCAAAAACTAATTTAACCTAGTTATTTAATCAGTAGTTATTTTAATATGTTCCCAGTAAAATCAAATTCATTTCTAGGGTAGCTCTACTTTTTAATAATCACAAAAGCAATTAATCTTTCTGACTTGAAAATGTGTATTTTTCAAAACATATTTCTACTGGCATTTATGCAATATATATTCTTAATATTTTATAAACTATTATAACCTGAAAGATAGTTTAAAATCTATTCCTTAGGATATCACATGCCTAACTATTTAAATGACTCCATTTGGTATACTGAAGTCAAAGCTATTAGCTAATTTTCTCCCCAAAAAATAACAAAATAAGGTAACAAATGTGGTAATTAAATATAGATATGCATAAAATGAAACAAATGTGTAAAAAATATGGACCAGATCTGCATTTATGAGACAATGACCTTCAAAACTGGCAGGGAGCTGTTACAATGTTCTTCACAGGGGAGCAATTACACTACAATCTTCCTATGTACATGTACTTTCATTTCTCATGGTCTACAAATACATTTGCGTATCAGAAAGAATAAGAGAATAGTTTGGTAACTGTGGCAACCTTCATTTGGAGGACATAAGGCATTTTCATCACCTTAATAATCACATCCGAAATGCCAGATCAGTTTAACTGCTGCAATATGAAAGGCCAGACCAATTCTTTTGACAGGATTTCCTACAACTAAAATTTGCCAAATGTGGCTATTGTAACTCTGATTCTGTAATACTCTGAGTGGTCTCTAATGATCCCAAGAAGCACTAAAATATTTCTGAAATAGATACCTTAAACAAAAATATGACATACAATACTTTGAGGAAAAGGAGTTTAAATTGTCACCAATTTTAAAAAATATATATACAGTACTGCAATTCCTAAAATGTTGGGAATATTGCTCTAACTTAATAAGTAGCTCACAGTTTCTTTCACTACTGATCACACACACGCGTGCATGTGCGCACACACACACACAAATGCACAAGGGGAAAAGTTGCTAAGAAAAGCTCAGTCTCTATAAATGCTCAGACAAGCTATATAAACAAAAGATACTGTCTTTTCTTACACTTCCTCACATAGGTAAAAGCAAAAGCAATTCACAATAGTGGTGCCCCAAAATAACAATATTACATATACTTTAGAAGTCCTGTGTTTTTTAGATTTCATGCAAGAATCACAATGTACAATCATTAACAATATCTAGACAATGGACACATTACAGTATGGCCATGTCACACCAAGCTTAATTTTCAATTTTTGATTTTTCTAAATTTTATAACATTGAATTAAAATAAACACAACCATATAGTAAGCATAAATCCAGTAAGTTCTGCTTAACTTAAAAATAGTATTTTCTCAATGGTAATAAAAACTACCCACAATTATAATACCAATCAACCAACTTTAAAGATTCTACTAACTGGGAAAAATAACCAATCACCTTATTGTGATACCTTAAAACCACAAGATTATGACTAGTGAAGACATGAACTGTGTTTCATTTTTACTCTAGACCTTGGCAAAAGTTTATGACCTGTTCTGGAAATTGTATTTCACCATAGATATACCCCAAAAGTATTCTTAGGACTCATGAAGTCTAAATCTTGCACTGCCCTTGGCATGCTATTGTGTAAAGCTTTAAATTTTAAAACAAAAGGATAAATGCTTTAAAATCTCTAGACAATGTATTCAAGTAATGAAAATGTCAACCCAATGTTTTCTCCTCCCCCACTAAAAAGAAAAAGTGCACATGACACATAAAGGTACAACAGAAACAAAAAGTAGCATGCCACTTAGTTATTAAGGAAATAATACATAGCATCTCTATATCATATTCAACTACAACAATCCTTTCACTTGATGGCTAGCATCTTTATGACTGCTTAATCTGTATTTAAGTGGCCTTAAAAAGAGATTTTGTTCTTTTTCTCTACCCTCATGGATCCTTGGCAGCAGTCATCACTTCTGCCCAAGGCTAGTTTTGGGGTCAGGGGGAGAGGAGAGAAGGATGAACTGAGCACGGAGTCAGCAGAGGCAGCTGCTCTCATACACTACTCAGCTTTCTCACACACCGCTATTTTCCGCTATTCAGCATTGTCAGCAAAAAAATAATAATAATAAATGGGGGGGGGGGTAAGGCAGGGAGACAAAGAGGGTAGGATCTGGGAACGACAGTTTTTGTCTGCCACATCCGAGGCGAGAAGCCCTCTGATTTCTTGTTGAAATAGGGATCAGGTGAGACCCCTGCGGGTCCAACTCAATTTGCTTCTCCAGAAAGAGCAGTTTCCGGCAGTGAGCGCGGATCCACCCGTCTGCTGAACTAAATACCGGAGCATTGTCAATGTTTTCTATCTCTGACTTTATAAAAAGGAAAGAGGGCTGTGACTGCGTTCCTGGTTAATACTACTACTCCTGACGAGCCACACAGCAGCAGTGAAGGAACATACACCAGAGGTTGTTAAAAATCCCTTCAAAAATACCAGGTACTGGAGAAATGCTGTGTAGCATTATCGTATTGTTGGCGTTTTTTTTAAGTCACCGATTCTCCCTCCACCGTCAACCCTCAAATCGCTGAGACTTGTTGCTAAATCTTCACCACACGCCCCCCAGAACTGCCCAAAAGAATAAGATTTGGGGAGCGAACGGCAGGAGGGGGGCCTAAATCTTTAACACCCAAGGGGCTGGCTAGGTTCCCTTCTATAGGCCACTCTGCAAAGGCTGCGCGTTCAGTTCCACCTTCGGAGAGCTCTGACTCACAAATACTGGGGGGGAAATTATGACATACACCATTATCCTTCCAACCAGAGAGAGATAAGAAAAGCCTGCTGGCCATCCTTGCGGGGCTGGAGAGCCCAAGCCTACGCTCCCCGACGGGGCGGCCGGGAAAGGAGTCTCCAGCCCTGCCCGCCTCCCTCCGCACGCCCGCGGAAGATACTCCCCACCCGGTCTGGCTCCAGGAGCCAGGATGGAGCGCCTTTACCCCGGGAGAGAGAAGGGAACGAGTTGGAAGTCCGGGACGCCGGGACTCGCCCCGCCGCGGCGCCAAGCACCCACTGCCCGGCCACGGACAGGGGCTCCGGCGGAGGCGCCCTGCAACGGGGCCGTCCTCCGCAGCCCTGGGAGGACAAAGCGCTGGGGTATGGGGTGACTCCCGGGCAGCGGCCACGGGCCAAGTTGACTAGACTCGGGGCACGAGGGGGTCCCGCGAGCAGAGCGGCTTGGCACTGACCTGGATGGTGCAGGTGTACTCGCTGTCGTCCAGCAGCCGCACGGTGCAGCTGTACTCGCGCTCCAGACTCCTACTACTGCCGCTCATCAACCTGCTCAGCATCTTCCCGCCCGTCCGCCGCCCCCAGGAGAGACGCCGCGGCGCTGCAGACCACGGACTAGGCGCCCCTCAGCCGGGCAGCTCCGCGCCGAACCCGGGCATCTGCACCATCACCCCAATCGGGTCGCCGCTGCTGCCTCCTGCTGGCCCCGCTCCTCCTCCTTTTCCTCCTCCTTCTCCGCCACCGCCTCCCCCAGCCTAGAGCCAGCGCCGCGCTCTCTCTCCACAGCGTCCCAATGCTGGTGCCCAGCTCGTGGGGCGGAGCCTCGGCCGGAGGAGGCCCAATGGGGGTCAGCGCGGCGGAACCGAGTGGCAGATGCCACAGCCAATAGAAACAGTGCATTAGAATGATGGACAAGATAAGGAGGCAATCATGGAAAGAGCTAAGCTGGACCAGCCCTCTGGCGTTCCAAACGAGGGGCTCTTTTACCCCCTGCAGTTCCTACAAATGCTTTTTCTCCCTCCCCCGAGCCAGGTGTGGGCACTCGGCTGGATCGACGTCTGCTGTTCGGAATACATTTGGGCTCTGCTTCGGAGGCCAAGTCCTATACCCTGCAAAGCCGCGGTTCCCGCCCTCTCGGGAGCCGGGGCCGTGCGAGATCACAATTCTGGCACCTGCAGAATGTAGGCACCTTCCGCCCTGGACCAGGAGGCTGCCCCCACCTGCGCTCTATATCCCAGGTCTCGCGGACGAGCCTCTCTGCCCTTAGCCCTGTTGTTTTGGAGAACATCGGTTTCACAGGAGCTCCTTAAGTGAAAATTGGAGGGTTCGCGGAGGTTCTTAAGCACCCAGGTTTAACCCCTAAAAAACCCTTCACTCTTAACACCCTTTGCCTCCTTCCTTTTATTTTCAGAAGACAAAAGGAGGAGACTAGGGCGTCCTCCTTCAGCCGGTATGGAGCAGAGGATGCGATGGATCAATTCCTTGCACCTTTATGTCTTCAGACTTCTTCAACAAAACAAAGAAAAAAACTGTCTCCTGGCCTCTGTGACCCCACATCTAAAGACCTCCTGTTATTTACGAAAACTTCACCAAGATAATATTCTCCCTCAAAAATTTTTGATGGAAGGAAATGCTATAAAAGAATCATATCAACCCAGAATATTAATGCTGTGATACGTTAATTTAAAAATAATGAAATATGCATAGTTTCCTATTATTTTCATTTAAACTGTTCTTGTTTATTTACATAACAAAAATAAAACCTTACACTGCCCTAGAAAAAATCCAACATTTAAGGTATGCTTCTTTCCTAGTGTCTTTGGATTCAGTATTTCTCCCAATTTATTTGCCCTCCCCCCACCCTTTTTGTTATCACCTCAGCAACCTGGATTGCTTTTCTTATTGCATTCTCCCTGTAGCATTCAATATCCATGAGAGGGGGTTCCTTTTTTTCAATACAATCCTGGGGGAGTTAATTAAGAACCTAGAACTAGTGAGTCAAATTTATAGCCATAAAACCAAGTGTGAGCTCTTATACTCTGTAGCCTTAACAGGTAGCCTGAAGCCTGCAGCAAAATAGGGTATCTAATACATGTTTGTTAAGTAAAATAAATGGAAGTGATAATATTTTGCAGCATCTAAATCCCAGGAGAAGATTTGTAAGGAAATGAAGAGAATTTCAGGAAAGTCCTGGAGATGAATAAAATTATTAATATGCCAAAGTAATATTGTACGAAGCTCAGCTTTGTTGTGTAGTTTAGGGAAGATAACGAGATTTCAGATAGGCAGAAGTTTTGTTGAAAGAAAAGTTGCTATTTGTTATAGAATTTATAAGAGCAAGAAAAAATATCCTAGGAAGTGGGATGGTCAGGAAGTGTTTTTAACAGTTTATGCAAATAAACAGCTGTTAGAATAAAAACACTAAGCACTATGAATCCAGAAAAGCTCTAAGGAACTGAATGTAATCTTTTTTCAAAGTATGACCATAGATGTAATCAACAGCAATGAGACTGTGGCTGCTATGCCAATGTGTTAAGTAACATTCCTGCTCAGCCTAAGAAAATTATGTTAGCTTAGATGCTCACCTCATTGAAACACCAGGTAGATATTCATTTACGTTTATGCATAATATCCATTAAAAGCTTCAAACTCTTCCTTACTCTCTGATACAGAACATTTTGCAAAGAAAACAAAGGATGGACAAATAATGTGGGTTTTTTTGGACAAATAATGAAGAAAAGCAAGAATCAATCAGTTTCTGGTTAGATGTATTTCTCTACAAGGCTCAAGAGGAACTAAAGGCAGAAGTCTAAGGGGAATTAAAAAAAAGGGGGGGGGGGCTCGCCCTGGCCAGTTTGGCTCAGCGGTTAGAGTGTCCACCTGCAGTCCAGAGAGACCGGGTTCCGTTCCCGCTAAGGGCATGTACCTCGGTTGCGGTTTGTCCCTGGCCCTGGTTGGGTCGTGTGGGTGGCAGCCACTCGATGTGTCCCTTTCACTTCGATGTTTCTCTCTCTCTTCCTCTCTCTCCCTCCCGCTCTATCTGAATAAAAAATGGAAAAATGTCCTCGGGTGAGGATAAAAAAAAAACAAAAAAGGGCTCATATAAAGTCAAACTGATAAATACTTTTGTTTACCTTTGTTTTTCTCAAGTCTGTTGAGCAGAATGTCCAGGATAGAAAAGGTTTGTTCAATCGAAGACTTCATGTACTTTGAGAATCTGTGTCGTTGCTTTCACGAGTTGTTTAGTATAAAGGAGGCCATATTTAAAATAAAAGTCCCAAATACAATGGCTCTGAACTCCTACCTTCCAAATTATCAAGATGTCAGCCCTCTTTAGAGTTTTCCTCACTTCTCTAGTATGGAGGAGTCCCTAGGGGAGATAATGTTACCCATATATGCCTGAAATAACTGAACTACCACTGCCTCTGCTTCAGATGTTTCATACCCTAATGTTCTGGACCTGAGCTCTCTCCAGCTGGCGCAATCTCCAGCATTGCCTTGAGTTTCAGCAGGAAGGGGCACTGCCCTCTCTTCACCAGGGCATCACAAACAAAGGTCCTTCTCCTCAAAATCTCCTCACAGCACAGCTAAGATCACTGTTTTATATAACAATATTAGAAAGGAAAAATAATCCAGAGTACTCTGCAGGTATGAATGGCTATTCTCAAAGCCCTTGTGGACTAGATACAAACTTGCCTTAGTGTTGGCTTCCAACTTGGGTCCACATGGCTGAAGATAGCTTCCCTCTTCATCAAGAGTTCCACTTACCATGTCTTGGGCATCCAGGCCCAACCACTGTGAAACAGAGAAGAAAACAACTATCCTCGTCCAGTTTAACGTCCACTTTCAAAGCCCCATTTTCTATCCCAAGTGCCGCTTGTCCCTAAAAAGACTGACTATGGGAATATCTAATCCTTTAGAGTATACCCCACCCACCATCCTCAGGGATTTGACCTTGACCTCTGACTCAACTGGGCTATCACCATAGAACATAACAGTCCAACATCGGCACATTTCTCACAAAGATTGAGTTATTCAATCTTAATATGGAGATCCAAGTAGAACCTCACCAAAGTCAGTCCAGTTCCTTTGCATAATTATGTCTCTGGTAAGGAGCATACCAGTCTGCTTTCCTGCATCTTTTCAATCTCAGCTTCTGTTCTCCTAAGAGCAAGGACTCAAACAACAACATTCACAGCTCCACAGAAACAACAACAACAACAACACACACACACACACACACACACACACACACACATTTGGTCTAAATCTACAGGGAGCAGAAACAGTTCTGTTCCCTTCGGCATCAATGTCTGTAGAAGCAATACTCGTGCTCAACACTCTGCTTCTACATTCATACTAAATACTTCTACATACATACTAAAGCATCTACATTCAAGTTAATGGTTACTTTATAGTTCTCCAAGAGTAGTACATGTATATATACTTGCTTTAATATGAGTAGTTAAACAATTCATATATAGTTTTCTCTAAATAATCAACCTCTGAAGAAATGTTTACCTTCTCTTTTATCAGGACAGAAAACCACCTACAGTTTAAGCTTTTCTAACCTTCTACCCACCTTTAAGATTTTCAGTTTAGCCCCTGTTACACTTAGAAGTATTTTTTATGTGGGAATATAAGAAGTGCATGTTTATTTGTTTTTATTTTTAAACATTGATTGAACATTTATTATGTGTTAGGCACATACTCTGTGACAGCTTTCTAGAATACATAAGACATAGCCCAAAGAATATAGGAAAAGGAAATGTACCAACCAAGAAGTTAACAATCTAGGAGAGAGTGTTAGGTGTGTGTACAATGGCTATAATATAATACGTGAAGCAATAGCAAAGTACTACAGAAAAACAAATGGTATCATTACTTAAGCATGGGAGACAGCGAAGTTTTACAGAAAAAACATTTCAGTTGGGCCCTAAGGAATGGAGTAGGATCATGAAGAGTGCAGACAGCAAGATAAAAGAAAAATATGCGATGAGGAGTGACTATTTTTTTTTTTTGAGGGTGACATTTTAAGTAAAGGAAACAGCATGAGCAAAAACATAGAAGCACAAATGTATGTAGCATGTTCCAGAAATTGCAGGCATCCCCAGATGGACAGCATGTGGGATGCATTGGCTGAGAAGAGATGAATTGAGGCCAGATTATATAGGACCTTCAATGCCATGCTTAGGACTATGAACTCTGTTGTATCAATGGTGGGAGGTGGGGGAAGGGGGTGGACTTTTTAAAGCAGTGACAGTATCATATTTATATTTGGAAATTATCATTTTCATAGCAGATTAAATTAGAGCAAGATGAGATTATTTACTGAAGTAAAATTGTATTTAGAAAACAATAGAATGTCTTTAATGAGGCATCAGAAGCGTTTGTAATAGGTCTCTCAGATGTCATTGACAGGCTTTATTATATTCTCCAATTATGGTTCACTTTCTCTGTATTTCCAGCTAATCTTTGGCTATTGTTCTAGGAACAAAATGTATACAAAACAAAGCAAATTAATTCATTTATCTAAAAAAAATTATTGATAGTCTACTATGTGCAAGTCCCTATGCCAGGTGCTGAGAGAATTCAAAGATGAATAAATAATATTCCCAATCTTCATAGAATTGACAGTCCCATGCAATCTGAAAAATTACTTCAATAACATTTATTAAGTATTCAGTTTCTATAGATTGATATTCAGTGCACATTGGTGTTTTTTTTAAGGTATAAAGGGGTCCAGCCGGTGTGGCTCAGTGGTTGAGTATCGACC